AAAAAAAAAAGTGTTGAGTTGAAGTTAGGATAAACTTTGTCTCTGTACAGAAATCTGCAACTGTCACCCCCATTTAGATTAGAAAAGTCTCACCTCTGGTCTTCAGGAGGATCTTCACTAAAGTCTGGAGGAAGAATTTTGGAGTCATCACTTTTCAGAGACACAGAGCTGGGAGCAGGTTCAGGTCTGGGTTTAGACCCGGGTCCAGGTCCAGGTGGGTCCATGTTGTAGGAGCTGGAATCAGAAGAAGAGTCCATTTGAACAGAACATACAGAGATGTCTCCTGCTGCACCCAGAGTCTGATCTGTCTGTCTCCCTCTGCTGGTCATATGGTATTGTTACACTCAAATTCTGTCTTTAATGGTTTTTATAATTCATGTTTTTTCACAATTTGAAATACTGTCATCTCTAGAGAGACAAGCATTTGGCCTTATTTGGGCTTCTTCTGATAAGTTACTCAATGCACTTTTAGAGAATATGAGGAGCCACTTTTGAATGTGTATGTTAAATGTGTGGAATTTAGAATTAATTGAAGACCATAATGATCAATAAGATACAGTATTAAACCTAAACTTATGTTTGATTTTTTATGAAAAACACTGTTTAAATAGTTCCTTTCTATCACCTTTGGACCTGTTCCACCTGGAGTCATGTGACCTCAGATTTGTGACAGGTCAATTGTCTGTACTCTTATGCTGCTCGTAATGTTTAGCACTACTTTTTTTTCTAATTTTGTCCACAGTTTTGCATTTAGGTCCACATTTGGACTGTGGAGTTTAGGTTTTAATTCCAACTTGTCTGACCTCTCAAAAGTCTTTTCTCTGGTCTTCAGGAGGAGCTTCTTTAAAATCTAGAGGATAGTCTTTGGACTGGTCACTTTTCATAGACACAGAGCTGGGAGCAGGTTTAGGTTTGGGTTTAGACCCGGGGCCGGGGCCAGGTCCAGGTGGGTCCATGTTGTAGGTGCTGGAATCAGAATTTTATTTAAATGTTGTTCTGTTTTGTATCTGCCCTTTGCACCTTATGCCTCATTTACACTAATGCTGCTGGTCACAGGCTGATGACACTCAAATCTCTTTTCTGCTTGTTTCCTGTGGCTACCAGAAGAAGTTACAGGTAACATTTGTGGAGAGGCGAGCTCTCCTATAGTACAAATGTATGTTCTAAAGGTATTTTAGTAATAAAAGTAATATCATCTCGAGGGAGACCAGTGCTTATCCTCCTCCTGAAAAGTTACTTAGTGCACCTTTACATAAAAGACTTTTGAGTGTGTAAATTAAATACATGGAATTTAGAATTATTAACTAAAGACCAATAAGATATTAAACCAAATGTTATGTTTGATTTCTTGTGAAAAATATTCAGATATACTCACTGCGTCAGTGTCGTCTCTAAATATTTTCACTCTGTCACCTGTTGTACCTGTTCCACCTGGAGTCATGTGACCTCAGATACGTGGACAGGTCACATATTTCTACTCTTATGCAGCACACAATATTTAGGACACTTTTTTTTTTTTCAGAACCTGTCTGTCTCCGTCAGCTGGTCACATGCTAAACTGGACTTCTCTTTTTCAGTTTTTTTTTTTTTTTTTTTTTTACATCTATTTTGTTAATGGTTTAAATCAGGATTAAACCAGGATTAACATACAAAACAAAAACAACAAACAACAACAAACAAAACAAAATGAACTCAGACGATACTACAAACTCTTTATACTCTTGAGCTGCACATAATAATTAACAAAATTTTTTCTAAACATGGTCATTGTTTGGTCAGTGAGGTCAAAAACATTTCATTAAATAAGAAAAAAAAATATTTAAAAAAGTTTATCCCACCATTACATGTGAACCCTGAAGACCAAAGAAAAGTAAAAAGGTGAAAGGATCTATTCTCCAGCAGCAGTTGACTACAGATGTAATGCAGAGGTCATGGTGCGAAGGACCCTAGGTTGAAATTATTTTAAATCATCCCTTTAAATGCAGTAAAAAAATAAAAATGACTTGACTTCGAGTTTAATTTTGAGAAAAAAAATCGTAGAAATAAAGGAACATAGGGCTGACCCCCATGGGATATGGTGTGAATTTTGCCCGGTTAAGCTCTACACTTCATAGAAAGAGAAGCGGGTACTGGGCTTGAGATCAAGTTGGATCATAGGCTACGTTCAGACTGCAGCCTGAAGTGACCCAAATCCGATTTTTTGGCTTCTATGTTCCTGTATCTGATCTTTTAATGTCAGTCTGAACCACACAGATCCGATTTTTTCAAATGCGACCCAGGACACTTGGATCTGTGCTCCTGAAACCGATGCATATCTGATCTTTTGACATGTGACTTCAGTGTGAACGGTCAAAGCGCATTCATTCGACCTACGCTTTATCACACAAACGTCACTATTCTGCGCTGAAGTAGGCGAAAATTGTTAATGAACTCAGTGTCACTGAAGTGAAGCACATCTCCACTCACTACTCTTGGCTCCGTCTCCACATCCACAACAGACTGTCCCACAAAACACCACGACAAAAAACCTCGTCCTTCTCCTTCTCAATCTCCTCCTTAAAACAAGTAAGTTGTTCATGTTCTGGCTTCGATACGAGAGGAACTTTAAAATCTCCAGGTGCTCAATGCTGCGTCCATGTTTGGACAACTTCTGTAAACACAGAGACGCTCGCTGCGGTTGACGTCATCGTGTCTCCAGTGCACATGCGGGACACTTTCGGGCCGTTTACTGTTCACACAGGGGATCGCATACAAGTCACATTTAATTGGAAATGTGAACGACCTCGCAAAAACATCGGATTTCACAAAAAATTCAGAATTGAGCGTTAAGCCCTGCAGTCTGAACTGACTTAGATGCTCCCCAGTCTGTGGTCAGGTCTACCCTTGGGCCTCAAACACACTAGCCACGTTGGCACCACCTAGTGTCTCCACTCCACTCAATTTAATTTCTCTCCAGCAACTAGGTCAGGAATCAGAATACACTAGACTGGGGCGACCAAACGTCCGTTTTTCCCCGGACATGTCCGTATTTTGCGTCCTGTCCTGGGCGTCCGGGTTTTTTTTTATAAAGTGATGCAAATGTCCGGGTTTTCAGTACCGTTCATTAAACTGAGCGTCTCTCGTAGCGTCTGTGACTCAGAAGGAGCGAGACACAAACAGTCGGTCAGTCTGAAACACGCCGAAGCACAAATGCACATTTAACAATGACTTGTACAAGAAATTTCCGTTTTCCGTCCCGTTCGGGACAAGTGTGAGTCCATGTGCACAGGTTGAGGTGAGAGGACAGTGTCCCTCGTTTATCGTGGGGGTTATGTTCTAAAAATAACCCGCGATAGGTGAAATCCGCAAAGTATCAACTTTATATTTTACAATTATTATATCTGTTTTAAGTCTGTAAAACCTCAGCACAAACTTTATACACTTTTCTCAGACAGGATCGACAGGTGCAACACTTTTTACTTCCTTCTTTAAACTTGTTGCTGCTGTCGTCCTTTTGTTATTTTCCTCCTTCTTTATGTAACAAACTGAAGATTCATTTATTCCATAATGGAGCCAACAGCGCAGAGTCCTGCACAGGTTCATTTTTGGAGACCTGCAGTACAACAGGACCGCACCCGCCAGGACAGGACCACACCTGCCCGTTAACCCGAGATTATATCAAACTTTTGCGCTGCCTACACCACGGACTGAACCAAGACTAAACCAGAACTAACCCAGGACTGAAACAGGACTCATCGTCAGGACGGGCTTGGAGGTGACGCAGGAGAAAAGACCGGCTCAGCTCTGCACCTCACGGAGGTAAATGCGGCAATTGCCCGATCGCATTTTGTGGACAAACTGCTCGGCGTTCTCTCTCTTAAGTCCAAGATTAGTCCTGGTTTAGACCTGGTTTAGTCCTGACTCACCCGTGTGTAATTACTACCCGCCTGTAATACACAATACGCGTTCATACGCTGTAAAAAAAAAAATCTGAGAAACGGTGAGACCGCGAAAGGTGAACCCCCCCCTCCCCAAGGTGTCCGGGTTTTCACAAACAGAAATATGGTCACCCTACACTAGACGGTTTATGGGATTTGGAAAAAGCTTAATATACCAGTTAACCCCGTTAGCTCCACATTACATATGTCATGACCAAATAGCAGCGATTGGTTAAATGAAAAAAAGTACTAGCCTACCGTCAAGCGAACGAATTCCAACTCTTCAAAGTCAGACGGTTTCTTACGAAGTGAAACCGTCTGACGAATCAGGCTACAAACACACTGCACGCATCAGCATTTATGGGAAACCTCGGTACAATTAATGCTTTCGATTTATTCTAATGAAGATACACGCGTCCAACAATCACGTCAAGCGTCAAAAGTAGATTGGATTTTATTTTCTGAAATCTACGCGCGCAGGACATGCTGGTTTACACAGGACTAGTGCAGACATTGTGGCCCTTTCCCTTCACTTTAAATGCATTTTAAAAATATCAGCGTGCAAAACATGCAGTCTGATGAAATTAAAAGAAATATTGTGGAAATTCTCAGCACAGGAGACAGGGAAGCCAAAGATGTTAATTTTGTCTTCTTATGTACTTTAACTTCTTGGGTTCTTTTTAAAGACAATGCAGTAAAGTGTTTTTTACCTTCTTGACATGTTTTCGGCTGCTGCTGCATCTTCAGAACTATCCTGGTGTTGGTGGTGACAACAGCATATCAGCTGTTGTTACTTCCTGTGGGCGTGGTCAGACCTGATGGACCTGCAGGTCGCTCAGACTGACCACGCCTCCCGTCGCCCGGTGTCTCTGGAGGAGGGTGTCCCAGGTGTGTGAAAGGAGGAATGCGCCGTCATCACGGTTAATGCTGTCCGTGCCTCGCTTTCTGATTTCAGTGTCCTCCTTGATCCAGCGTTTGAACTTGCTGTTTTCCGATCCAATGATCCGAGCCCCGTCCCAATCCATAATGTGCTTATTTCTTTTCTTTTTTTTTACAGTGTCTGATATGGCGGATTTTAAGTTTTCCTGTTCTGCTTTGTCTTTTTGTGTTCTGGTGAGTCTCCCTGACGTTTCCTTCTCGCATTCCTTTTGGTGTTCCTTTTTTCGGATGTGAAATGCCCAGCCTGTTTCCCCTGTGTATGATTTATTGCATGATTTGCATTGGATTTCGTAGATGGCATTGCATTTTTGTTCTTGTGGGATTTTGTCCTTGGGATGTACGAGTAGTTGGCGGAGTTTTGTGTCTGGTTTTACTACAGTGCTTATGTTGTGTTTTTTCGTGGCTCTGGATGGGTTCGGTTATGCCTCTGATGTATGGTAGTGTGACTATGTTCTTGTGGTCCTGCTGCCCTGTGTTGCATTGTTGTGTTTTTTTCCGGGGTTTGTTGGTTTTATTGATAACTTGTTGTCTGCCTTTGTTTATGGCCCAGCTGGGATATTGACTTTGTTTGAGTGCTTGTATGATGTGTCTCTCCTCTTCCTCCCTGTCGGTCTGTGATGAGTGTGGCCCGTTCGAATAGTGTTCTTACTACTGAAAGTTTGTGTGCAGTGGGATGTTTGGATGTCCAGAGTAAATATTGGTCGGTGTGTGTAGGTTTCCGGTATACAGTAATTTTGATGCTGCCGTCTGCGATGTGGTGGATTTTAATGTCCAGAAAAGATATGGCTCCGTCTTTCTCCTCCTCGTGTGTGAATTGAATATTTCCTGTGTCGTCTTGTGTGTTGAGATGGTCTGTGAGTTCTTGTGTGTGTCCTTGCTGTATTTTCTCCAGGATGTCATCTACGTAGCGTTTCCAAAAGGTTAAAGGGCATTGTGGTGGTGCGGTGTTGAAAGCTTTCTGTTCCAGGTCCTCCATGAAAAAACTGCTCATTATTGCTGATAGTGGATCTCCCATTGCGAACCCTCTTTTCTGTCTGTAAATTATGTTGTTGTACTGAAGATATGTAGATTTGGCCACGAAACGTAATAATTGTGTAATGTCATCAACTGTTAGATTTGTGTGTTTTTTGAGTGTTTTGTCCTTTTTAAGTTTTTCCTGTACTATGTGTAGTGTGACATCCACGGGTGTTTTTGTGAAGAGTGATATGACGTCGTGATACGAGTATTGATATACGACACATCACCACTAACACCGGTGACAGTTCTGAAGATGGCTTGCAGCTAGCAGCCGAAACATGTCAACAAGGTAAAATACACTTTACTGCATTGTCTTTAAAAAGAACCCAAGAAGTTAAAATTCTAGACAAATGTCATTCATGGGGAGACGAGCAGTTTGAGTTTCCTCCTGAAAAGTCACATAGGACATCTGTAAGAAATTATATAGGTGCCCTTTTCAAATTAAATATCTGGAATTTAAAAGTGGTAAATGCCAGAAATGTCCATAATTACCAACAAGTTACTAAACCCACATTTATGTTTGATTTCTTTTGTAAGAAAATCAGATAAACTACAGCATAACATTGCATATTTAGTGTCTCGCAGGAGAATGTCTGTTTTATCATTGACGTTAGAACAGTTTTAAAAAGTGTTGAGCTGAGGTTAAGATAAACTTTGTTAGAAAAGTCTTACCTCTGGTCTTCAGGAGGATCTTCTCTAAAGTCTGGAGGAAAACTCTTTGGAGTGGTCACTTTTCAGAGACACAGAGCTGGGAGCAGGTTCAGGTCTGGGTTTAGACCCGGGTCCAGGTCCAGGTGGGTCCATGTTGTAGGAGCTGGAATCAGAAGAAGAGTCCATTTGAACAGAACATACAGAGATGTCTCCTGCTGCACCCAGAGTCTGATCTGTCTGTGTCTCCCTCTGCTGGTCACAGTCTAATCTTACACTCAACTGGATTTTATTTATTTTTACTTCATCACTTTTTTGATGTTTGAGATCAGGATTAAAGCCGGAGTAACAGACACATTATAAACAGAACTAAACAAAGACTAAACTAGTTCTGAGAAAATATTTAAAGCTGCACTGTGTAACTTTTCTGGTGGAGGGACTATCATCAACTTTCCTTGATGGATATGTGATTCTTTTGTGTGGAATATTTCACAGTATGGCATCAATTTTTTTGCTTTCATGGATAAAAACATCACAAGGCCAAATCACAGGTCAGATCTATGAAAAAGCAGCCCAGTGCAGTTGATTGTTTTTCAGCGATAAAGTAAGTACAATTCAAGATAATTATGTTTAATGCCATATTTTGGAACATTCTAAACAAAACAATATCATTCATGGGGAGACAAGCACCTTGAGTTTGTAAGAATATAGTAGCTTTTTTCAAATTAAATATCTGGAATTTAAAAGTGTTAAATGTTTGTCAGAAATGTCCATAATTAACAATAAGTTACTAAACCCAAATTTATGTTTGATTTCTTATGTTAGAAAATCAGATACTTACTTTGTCAGAGTCGTCTCCAGATATTTTCACTCTGTCACCTGTTGGACCAGTTCAACCTGAAGTCATGTGACCTCAGGTATGTGCAGGTCTACAGTGAATCTGCAGAACACACATGCAGCATTATTGTGTCTATATTTACAATGTGTGGCCTGTTCTGTCTTTGTCCACTGTTTTAGATCATTTAAAAATATTGGATTAAAAGTAATGTATCCATGGCCTCTAGGGAGCACTCCAACACAGTCAAAGAATGTTCTCTGTAAAAGGCGTTCCGTTGAGGATTTCTAGATGAAGTGATAAAGGACGGGTTTGTGTGAGAGCAGAGTGTGCAGAGGAGAGGGTCACAGGAGCAGAGGATTCACTGTGGGAAGGAAGAAAAACATGCAGTTTACTAATTCAGTTATAACACTCATCAAGTAAATGAGATATGAATTCATCAAACATGTGAAATATGGAAATTATTGTTTTAAATATCTAACAAAAGTGTAACTGTGAGCCAGAACACAGGAGGAGACGATCACAACGATGCTCAATTGTCTTAAGAACGTCTCATGAGAAGTGCAGATATGATTTAAACGAGTTTGACTTGCACCGCTTCATGTAGTTTAGTTTAATTTATTAAGATCCCCATTAGCTACAGAAATATCAGTAACTATTCTTCCTGGGGTCTCCTCAAATTATTACATACATTTTATTGCATAATACATAAACTTCACACACAAAGACACACACACAAAAACAAGACATGAAAGCTCCAGGCACAGGAAAAGTAATAAACAAAATGTAAAATAAACAGCAATTAAAACAGATATCAACAACAATAATACATAATATAAACAGTAACTAAAAAAGTAAAAAGGAACAGTTTTAACATTTTTGTAATAGCTTTTTGTTATTTTCAAACAACTAAAATACTGGCAGTGTGTTCCATTCAACCATGACTCGATAACCAACAGTACGCTGCATTTGATCTGGTTCTGCACACAGGAAGAACACCACTATATTTTGGTTTTGACCAGTTTCATAATTGTGGGTATCTGAGAAAAAAGCTAATTTGTTATAAATTATTTCTGTGCTTTCAGTGAAAATTATATTTCTAATAAAAGTTAATAACTTGTATTTGAGTCTGCATTTTACAGTCAACCAGACCAACTCATCGTGCATTGTGATTATATTGGTTCTGTATTAAGGTTTTGCATCTACGTCACAAAACCACGTGACCTGGTGTTGATGCCGTCATATTGGAGTCAAACTATCTGGACGAACGTGTAGTATTTTTGTAAGATTAAAACTGAATCACAATGGTTTTGACCTGCGTTGCTATGGGAGGCCAAAATATCTTTCTATTGGATCCCGGCTGATAAAGATTGAGGCAGAGGTGGACAGTGGACATAAAAAAGATGGAGTCCACTGAGAACAATCGTCTGTCAGTCAACATTTCATTTCTGTTGAGGGACCATCTCTACACAAACGAAGAAGGGATGTGCAGTAAATGAAATGATATATATACCATAAGTATTTTTTGAGGATTCCACCCCGGCCTCTATTTCCACCGTCCCGGGTCGCTCTGGCTCTGATTTTGACTCCCATTCTACTTCCCCTGGTGTTATCAGGAACAGATATCTGTGATGTTTGGTGATCAACAAAGATCTCACGCATCCCGCTACAAAATATTTACATGCTTCTAACCCCGTGTAGCTTTTCAGTTCTTGGTTGGCGTAGCACGATGTCGATTGAATGAAGTAGTTGTAAATATCTGGAGACTAAAGGTTGAGCAGAGCGAGCGTTGATTAGACTGACAAAGCTCCATCGGAATTAGATCGGATCTATTCCACAACCCAGGAGGACGACTTTAGCTTTATACCTTTTATAATGACGCTGATCTAACGAGCTGGAGATTTCAGTCAGTTTTATGTTGTTTGTTCTGTTTAAAGTCGCCATGATTATATTGAAATAAACTGAATAATCCCAGTCTTGACCTCCAGTATGGACGCCAAAACATTTAATCACGTGACTGACACAAGACACGCAAAACCTTAATAATAGGCAGTTCAAAACAAGCCGCGCTGCTTTATTCTGAGCGATGTAACCTGTACAAGTTCCTCTCACATGTGTTTGACCAAATGACAGATGCATAATCCATCTGAGAAAGAACTAATGACTGTACTAGACGTTTGATCGACCACTGTGGGAGACATTTTCTACAGTGTCTGATCATGCCCACACTTTGACCCATTTTTTTTTCAGTACGTGATCGATGTGGCTGCTCCATGTTCATTTCGAGTCCACGATTACACCCAATCATTTTATTTCTTCAACTTGTAGTGATGTGTGTTGTTCATATGCAGAGATGTTCTGTGGTCTCTTTAACCCTGTTCTAATGTCATTTCCTGATCACAAACGTACCTGGAGTTTGTTCTGTTTCATTTGGACATGTGCTCCTCTGTGTTTTTAACCCTTGTGCTATCCTCAAAGGGATACAGAGGGGTAAAAATGTGCCCGGGTCAAATGGACCCATGGATATGTGGGTCCATTTGACCCGGTCACGTGACTTGGCCTTGTCTCTGTTCTTCGTGTGCCTTGTAGTGTTTATGCTCTTTATTTATTTGGAAATTGTTTTAACCTCAGAGGTGCACATTTGAGGATAGCACAAGGGTTAAAGTTCATTCACGTTCACCAACATGTTGTGATCATGTAAACAGTGATGTCCCTCTGAAACTCTCAGACACTGTTATCCTTCTGTAGACCGCTCCATGTCCTTGTTCACTCTTCTGCAGTTTGAAACAGAAGAACTTGCGTACATTTCATATTCAGCATTTTTGTTAATTGTTTTGTCATTTTTAAAGTCCATTTTTATGTGTTTTGACAGAAAGAATCATTATATCATAAAAGATTCACATATGGCGCTCTCTTCAGATTCACCATAGACACAGAGGAATCTTCATACCAGAGTCCAAACCCAGGAAACAGAGGCTCAGTGAAGGAGGAGCTGAAGGTGTGGAGGTGGCGCAGTTCTCCATCAGAGCGAACCTCATAGAAAGACAGAGATCCAGCCTCAGAGTCCAGGAACACAGACACTCGACCTGAGAGAAGGAAGCAGGAGGAGTAGGAGTACAGGACGGTCTGTCTGTTGTTGTGATAGAAATAGTAAAGTCCATCATAGATCCTCAGACTCCAGGACTGATCGTTGCGTCCAAACCAACACTCCTCTCTCTTTCCTCTCCGTCTGATTCCTCTGTAACTCACTGCTATTTCAGTTCCCCACCCGCTCCACTGCACCTCCCAGTAACAGCGCCCCCTCAGGCCAGTGCAGCTCATGATCTGATAGCAGCCTGTAAATCTGTCCTCATGATCTGGATACTGCTGATTCTCTCTCATACAGGTCACTGTCCGTTTGTCCTCAGACAGTTTGAAGACTTTGTGAGCTGTGTTTGGATCCAGAGAAAACTCACAGGAATCTGAGGACACAAACACATGACATCACTTCCTTTTCTTGAAAATATGCATTTTTATTGAATGTATATCTGCCTCGACATATTTTTATAATTTTAACTGTGCTTATATCACTTCATTTGAGCCATGTGTTTGGCCTTTGAATTGACTAAGTCAGGGCGACTTAATGGAGGTCTATTGGAGAGCCTGAAGTTTTGAGAAAATTTGACGTCATTATGTTGCTTCTGCCCATGACTTTACATTGCAGCTCTGAAATACATTTTGGGGCGCAGGGTGGGGGTGAGCAGAAAGCAAGTGATTGGTCTTTATAAACATGATCACACACCTGACCTATTGTGATTCAGCTACTCGCTCTGTCATGGCCAGCCCCAACTCTCCACTGACGCCATGTCACTACTTCAGGCTAATAAATGGATAAAAACAGAGCTATGTGCTGTACAGTTATGGCAAGTCCAAATTCAAGTCAAAATGTATCCGAGGAATAGTTTTTAGGGAGTAATAAGTCCTCTCTTCAGCAGAACCCTTCTGGCAAGCAACAAAAGAAGCATTAAGCAGAAATGAGTGCATCTGGCTGCAGTGATATCCTGTGGCTCTTATTTTGATTCACACTAAACCTAAAACATCTTAAACACAGCAGAGTGCGAGGAGAGGCCTGCAGCGAGCTTCAGCCTCTGCCCACTTGTTTCTGGGCGGAAAAGTTTAATTGTAGCACACAGAGGACTTAAGTTTACCTGGTACCCTAGTGCTAACATGGACTGGTTGGAACTTTCAGATTTAAGTGAGAAGTGGGATTAAGGTTAGTTTTACAACCTGCACCTGCACTTGGCTCCCGGACTGTGCGTCACGGACCTGACTGAACCAGGATTTGGACCAGTTTGATCTCTTCATATTGGACAATAATACACTTTTGGAGACAGAAGCAACAGGACAGTGGATAAAGGATACACTTTGCTTCAGTCCTCTGGAGAAGGTAAGAGGCTTGTTTTTGTTAGGTTGGGGCAAATCTGAGGACGGAGCCTCACAGGTGAATAGTGCATAAATGATCTTGTTGGTGCGTCGGAACTGCTCCGGTGTTCTGCTGTGTGTGCTGTAGGAGCGGCGCTCATACCGTGTGTTTGTGTTGTGACCATAGCCTCTTAGTGTAGTTTTGCTGACGTTGTTGGGGCTGGGTGTGAGCGGTGCATCAGGTTGTGTTACTCCATAAATCTTTGCACTTGGCTGTGCTCTGATAGATATAGCTCAGCCAATAGTTACCAAAATGGCTTTCTAGCATTTGTCATAATACTACATAACCTATATATAATACATATATCTATAATATATATGTATAATTTTGGCCTAGGCCCTCCCCCAAACAATTATACCACCAACCAACACTGATCCTGAACAATAACAATCATGTCTCAAGTCTCGACATGTTTTTAGCTAAAATGATTCCTCTATAACTATGAAGATTTTAAGAATGATAAAGTTACATCATGTAAATGTTTCCATGAACTGAATAAAATACAGAGACTCACACTTCCTCAGACCTGGGACCATCCACTGTTCTCCAGCAGGATCCAACCTAAAACACACAAGTCCAATTTAGACCAGACCAGAGACCAGGATCTGGACCGACCATGGACCAGAGACCCACTGAACCAGGACCCTCACCTGAGAGACTGCAGGGGGCAGTGGGGGTCGTCCCGTAGAGCGGTCAGGAGCTCTGCTGAGGGTCCTGGATGGTTGTAGCTGAGGTCTAACTCTCTCAGGTGGGAGGAGGCGGAGCTCAGAGCTGAGGCCAGAGCAGCCCCGCCCCTCTCTGAGACCAGACATCCAGACAGCCTAAAGACACAGAATTACACTCATGTGGACACAATGGGGGCAGAGTGCATCATGGGAGCGTCTCACCTGAGAGTCTCCAGTCTGCAGGGGGCGCTCTTCAGTCCAGAACACAGCAGCTCCACTCCTGAGTCCTGGAGGTCGTTGTTAGTGAGATCCAGATGTGTGAGACTGGAGGAGCTGAGGACTGAGGCCAGAGGAGCACAGCTGTGAGGAGACAGACCACAGCCACAAAGACTGAGGACAGAGAGGGACATTAGAGACTAGAACCTCCACACAAGAGTTTAAATACAGTCTGGACTCACAGGACTTTGGTGGAGACTCTGACCACCGGCAGCAGATTGAGGAGACCTGTCTCTGAGGCCTGGTATTTCCTCAGGTCAAACTCCTCCAGGTCTGAGTTTGAGGACAGTAAGAGGAAGGACAAAGCCGACCACTCAGCATTGGAATTTAACTTGGTGAGTTCTCCTTCTCTCATGTACCACTGTATGTCCTTCACCAGACTTTGGTCGTTCAGTTCGTTCAGACAGTGGAGCAGGTTCAGACTTCTCTCTGCAGACAGACCCTTTTCATTCAACTTCTGTTTGATGTACTTTACTGTCTCCCGATTGGTCTCTTCAATTCCTGTGTGAGTCAGCAGACCCTGCAGCAGCCTCTGATTGGTCGGCAGAGACAGTCCTAGGAGGAAGCGCAGGAACAGGTCCAGGTGTCCATTTGGACTCTGTAAGGCCTGGTCCACAGCAGAGCAGTAGAAGGCTGCCTCAAACTTAGGACTTTCAGAGGAGTGTGGTGTCTTCAGCAGGTTCTCTCCAGAGCTGAAGAAGGTCTGATGGACGTGAAGAGCAGCCAGAAACTCCTGCACACTCAGATGGATGAAGCAGTAGACCTTGTCCTGGTACAGGCCTGGCTCCTCTCTAAAGATCTGTGTGAACACTCCGGAGTACACTGAGGCCGCTGCAGCGTCCAGCCCACACTCGCTCAGGTCACTCTCGTAGAAGATCAGGTTTCCTTTCTGCAGCTGCTCAAAGGCCAGTTTTCCCAGAGACTTCACCATCTCCCTGGTCTCTGGAGTCCAGTGAAGGTCCTCCCCTGATCCCTGGTGATACTTGATGTTCTGGACTTTGGCCTGCACCACCAGGAAGTGGGTGTACATCTGTGTGAGAGTCCGGGGCAGCTCTGGTTCTGTTTGTTCCAGAATCTTCTGTAGAACTGTGGAGAGGATCCAGCAGAAGATCGGGATGTGGCTCATGATGTGGAGGCTGCGGATGCTCTTGATGTGGGAGATGACGACTGTGGCCTGGTCTCTGAACCTCTTCCTGAAGTACTGCTCCTTCTGTGGGTCAGTGAACCCTCTGACCTCTGTCACCATGGAGACGCACTCAGCAGGGATCTGATTGGCCGCGGCGGGGCGCGTGGTTATCCAGAGGAGAGCGGAGGGAAGCAGGCTCCCCCTGATGAGGTTCACCAGCAGCACGTGCACTGAGGTGGACTCTGTGGGGTCGCTCAGGACTCGGGTTCGGCTGAAGTCCAGAGGAAGTCTGCACTCGTCCAGACCGTCAAAGATGAAGAGCACCTGGAAGCTGTTGGAAGCTGCAGAGATGTTTGGATGGACTGAAGAAGTGGTGCAGCAGCTCCACCAGGCTGAACTGTGTGTCTCTGAGCACATTGAGCTCTCTGAAAGTGAACGGGAACAGCAGCTGGAGGTCCTGGTGGGCCCGGCCTTCAGCCCAGTCCAGACTGAACTTCTGGGTCAGCACCGTTTTCCCCACGCCAGCCACGCCCTTCGTCAGCACAAGTCTGATTGGCTGTGGTGAATGTGGGCGGGGCTTAAAGAGCTCTTCACATGTGATGGTCTCTGGAGCGGCCGGTCTCCTGGACGCCGTCTCCATGAGTCTGACCTCATGTTCCTGGTTGACCTCTGAGGCTCCGCCCTCTGTGATGTAGAGCTCTGTGTAGATCTGGGTCAGGGGGGCTGAGTCTCCTGCTTTAGCCACGCCCTCAAACACACGACTGAACTTCTGCTGTAGATCAGACTTCAGTTTCCCTCTGCACACTCCAACAGGATCGCCTGAATAAAGACAAACAACTGTCAACTCAGGCTCCTTCTGAAAACATCTTCACTTGAATGTCACAGAGAAAATTTGCTGCTTTTAACTGTAAAGTTAAAGATGCAGCATGTCACTTTTCATGGGGAGCGTCTGCAACCGGCTTGTTTCTAAGGTGATTTGAGTTCATATTACACTTTATGGACACAAGCAGGTGACTCTAACAGGCCAAATTTGTGACGAGATGAGAAGGTCTGTCACAATAATGACTACATCAACTTATTGTTCAATTTATGAAATCTGGAACAACATATTTTTGGACTCTAGTTATTATTTTTGTTGTAATACAATGAGATTTGAGCTATAGAATTACAGAAGTAACTTACTGTATATGATAAATTTGTTAAAGCTGAAGACTTTTGATGATACTGTTTACAAAAAAAAAAAAAAAAGCTTCATATTGTGTCAAATTTACTCTCAAGAGTGCATATTGTCATGGTCATGAGCTCTGGGTAGTGACTGAAAGGACGAGATTGCGGATACAAGCGCTCAAAATGAGTTTCCTCCGCAGGGTGTCTGGGCGTCTCCCTTAGAGATAGGGTGAGGGGCTCAGTCACACGGGAGGAGCTCGGAGTAGAGCCGCTGCTCCTCCACGTCGAGAGGAGCCAGTTGAGGCTCGGGCATCTGTTCCGGATGCCTCCTGGGCGCCTCCCTCTGGAGGTGTTCCGGGCATGTTCCATCAGGAGGAGGCCCCGGGGAAGACCCAGGACACACTGGAGGGACTATGTCTCTCGGCTGGCCTGGGAACGCCTCGGGGTTCCCCCGGAGGAGCTGGAGGAAGTGTCTGGGGTGAAGGAAGTCTGGGAGTCCCTGCTTCGACTGATGCCCCCGCGACCTGGCCCCGGATAAGCGGATGGATGGGTGCATATTGTTTAAAAGATTTTTGAGGAATAATAACACCTGTAGATGAATACATGCAAGATTGTTACATTTAAATCCCTACCTTGGAACATTATAGGAAAAATAATGACATTTCCATGGAGACAAGAAGGTGATGACACCTCCATCAGAAAAGTGACATAGTGCACCTTTAAAGTAAACAGATTATATCCAGCATCTGTTCCTCAGGTGGATAAAACTCCCTCCTAATGTACGGGTCATAGTACTTTCTGTGAGCCTCAAACACCTGTAGACTTTTGTTACTGTGAAGTCAAGTCTGGTGTGGTCTTTTCCTCAGATGGACAGTAACAGAGTTCTTACTGTTCTGCAGGCGCTGGGCCAGCTGCTCCTGGTCCATCCTCCTCAGGAAGTCCAGGGTGATGTTCAGAACCTCTCTGCTGCTCTGCTCCTCCTCCTCACTCTCAGAGCATTCTGGGTAATCTGAGGCCAGGAGCCTGTGGAGCCTCTGCAGCTGCTCTTTGACAAAAGTCAGGACGTCCTCCTCCAGACGCTGGAACAGAACAATAAGAGAAGAGTTTTAGTCAAAGAGAGCACCTGAGGAGCACCCAGAGAACCCCACACATGCTGTGCTCGTGGGGTACTCACCCTGAATATGGCGTCCAGCTGCTCCTTTGGGCCTGGCTCCCTGTCAAACAATAAACTCATCATTTCTTTATTCCAGACTCATGGTCCATAAAAGAACAGAATAAGACAGAGACAAGAGTAAAACAGGGTTATAAAAGACAGATCAGTGTTTCCATAAAGAGCAGTGTTACTGCACAGAACTAAACCTGACACTCACCAGCATCACCACCACAGAGTTCGCAGACTCATTTAGGCCACAGATGGATTTATACACCAGGTTTGTCATGAGAGTCTGAAAAGTGTTTCTACTGTGTCTACTCTGTCCCACCTGATCTCGTCTGTCTCACATTGAGAGTAACTCCATTAAAACACAGGACGACTGTTTGCACTAATGAAGGACGAGCAGCAGGTGGCGCTGTTGTGAGAACATGTTCAGAGCTCTGGGTTAAGAAGGTCTCACCTCTGGTCTTCAGGAGGAGCTTCTTTAAATACAGGAGGAAGGTTTCTGGACTCATCACTTTTCAGAGACACAGAGCTGGGAGCAGGTTCAGGTCTGGGTTTAGACCCAGGTCCAGGTCCAGGTGGGTCCATGTTGTAGGAGCTGGAATCAGAAGAAGAGTCCATTTGAACAGAACATACAGAGATGTCTCCTGTGTCGAAGCTCTGTTCTCCAGATGTGGAATTTCACAGCTGCAGGGAAAAGCTCTGATGGTCAGGAGAACTTGAGGTCACCAAGACAACTCAGACATTTCAGAGAACTAGTAGTAGTACAAGTTTTTATTATTCAAGTAGAGACCTATTAGTTACAAATCAAAATTGTGGGGGTCCATAACATAATTAAACACACCAATGTTCCACAGTATGTCACATTACACTCCAGTGCACTTTGAGGTTGGAGGATCAGCTCGTGGAGGTTAAAGGTCCATACTCTGTTATCTGATCTATGTTCTAATATGTTCTAATGTTTCCTCAACACAAACAGACCTGGAGTTGTGTTTTTGTTTCATTCACACATGTTAAACACACAAATCCTGGACATTTAGGCTGAAAACACTCTGTTCCACCTTGTGATGTCCACAATGATGTCCACTCCATACACCTTTGTTAGAATCATTTGGATGATTTCAGCTCTAGAATTGCCAAACTCTACTGAACTAAAAGTAAAAGGAGCTGTTCACTTGAAAACTGCTGCTTCGTGCATTGTGTTTGTTTAACGAGGATCTGTTATGTCAGGGAATGGTTGTGATTTTTTATTTTATTTTTTTTCCTCAACATGATTTTTTTTGAACAAAAACTAGTCAGACAATTAATTTGTTGCAATCGACAACAAAAACAAAAAATCATATTTCTTCTTCCAAAGTCTGACTTCTGCTTTGGAATCTAAACATTTGAACAATTTGCCAAACATTTAATCTTGATTTGATAAATTGTCATTTATACATTTTTCAAAGCTTCATATTTGTACAGATAAATGAAAATAACATAAAAAGTGAATAACATGAGGAGACAGTCACACAGTAACAGCTTTACTCAGTTTAGTCTCTGTTTATTAGTGTGAAAAGTCCTGTTCAAATGTCTCACCTCTGATCTTCAGGAGGAGCTTCTTTAAACTCTGGAGGATAGTGTTTGGACTGGTCACTTTTCAGAGACACAGAGCTGGGAGCAGGTTCAGGTCTGGGTTTAGACCCGGGTCCAGGTCCAGGTGGGTCCATGTTGTAGGAGCTGGAATCAGAAGAAGAGTCCATTTGAACAGAACATACAGAGATGTCTCCTGCTGCACCCAGAGTCTGATCTGTCTGTGTCTCCCTCTGCTGGTCACATACTAACATTACACTGAACTGGATTTTCCTGTTTTATTTTACTTGTTTAAGGCAAGGCAAGGCAAGGCAAGGCAAGTTTATTTGTACAGCACAATTCGTACACAAAGTAATTCAAAGTGCTTTACAGAATAAGAAATGCATTAAAATCATAATAAAAACAAATCAAAACATAAATAATCATGAAGATTAAAATGAAAAAAAAGAGACATAAATTGGAGAGAAGAGTGCGGAATGAAAACCTTTCAGTTATTTGCACAGTTAAACAGAAATGTTTTGAGTCTGGATTTAAACAGCGTCACAGAAGAGTCTGTCTCACATGTTCAGACTGTTCCAGGTTTTAGCTGCATAAACCTGAAACGCTGACTCCCCTTGTTTAGTTCTGACTCTGGGCACCAGCAGGAGGCCGGTCCCTGAGGTCCTCAGAGTATGAGATGGTTCATATGACACTAACATGTCACAGATGTACTTTGGTGCTCGGCCATGGAGAGACTTGTACACAAGCAGAGCTGCTTTAAAGTCTATTCTCTGAGGCACAGGAAGCCAGTGCAGAGACCTGAGCACAGGACTTATGTGCTCGTACTTCCTAGTTCGAGTCAGGACCCGAGCTGCAGCGTTCTGGATGTTCTGCAGCGTCTCACAGCTCGTTTGGAGAGACCAGTGAGCAGACCATTACAGTAGTCTAACCTACTGGAGACAAATGCACGGATAAGTTTCTCCAAGTCTGATTTAGACAGTAAACCTTTGATTTTTGCTATGTTTTTTAGATGGTAAAAGGCTGCAGATGTTATTGATTTTATGTGACTGTTAAAGTTCAAGTCTGAGTCCATTATTACCCCTAGATTTCTTGCCTGATTTGAAGGTTTTAGAGCGAGAGACTGGAGGTGACTGCTGACATTGTCCCTTTGTTTCTGTGGACCAAACACTATGACTTCAGTCTTGTCAGAGTTTAGCTGGAGAAAGTTGTTTTGCATCCACACACTGATCTGTTGGATGCAGTGACCAAGTGACTCCACTGGTCCATAGTCTCCTGCTGCCAGAGAGACGTAGATCTGAGTGTCATCTGCATAATTGTGGTACGACACGTTATTGCTGCTTATTAACTGGGCTAATGGCAGCATGTAGAGATTGAACAACAGGGGGCCCAGGATTGACCCCTGAGGCACCCCACAGGTCAGGGCCATGTGATCTGAGACACAGTTTCCAATTTCAACAAAAATACTTCCTGTCTTCTAGATAGGACTTGAACCAGTTTAGTACAGTACCAGAGATGCCCACCCAGTCCTCTAGTCTCTGTAAGAGGATCCCATGATCGACAGTGTCAAAAGCAGCACTCAGATCTAACAGGATCAAGACTGAGACTTTGCCTGCATCAGTGTTCAGGCGGATGTCATTTGTCACCTTGATAAGAGCAGTCTCAGTGCTGTGGTGGGCTCTAAAACCTGACTGGAAAACATCAAAGGAGTTGTTCATTTGGAGAAAGTTCGTAAGCTGTTGGTAAACAGCTTTTTCAAGGACTTTGCCAAAAAACGGCAGATTTGAGATGGGTCGGAAATTGTTCAGTACTGTGGCATCAAGACTGCTCTTCTTTAGGAGAGGCTTAATGACCGCAGTTTTCAACGCATTTGGGAATGTTCCAGATTGAAGTAACATGTTAACTATGTGAGTGAGTGGTGAAAGTAAACTGTTGAGGACGGACTTTAGAAATCTAGTGGGTAACATGTCCAGGCAGCAAGTAGATGAACTCAGACTGGTAACGATCTCTAAAACAGTTTTGTCAGTTACAGGTGCAAAGTGATTCAGCTCTAAGTGTCTCTGTGGTTTCATGCTTGTTATTTGTGTTCTGGAATTGATGGCATTTTTGATGCCCTGAACTTTGTCATTAAAGAAAACTGCAAACTCATTACATTTAGATGTGGAAATTAGTTCTAGTGGCAGTGGAGCTGGAGGGTTTGTTAATCTGTTCACTGTTGCAAACAGGACACGAGAGTTGTTACTGCAATTACCAATAATGTCCGAAAAATACTTCTCTCTTGTTTTACTCAAAGTGTAGTTGTACATATGCATTGTTCCTCTGTAAATCTCATAATGAACCTGGAGGTTTGACTTGCGCCATTTCCGCTCGGCCTTCCGGCACTCCCTTTTCTGTGCTCTGACTGAGTCATCATTCCTCCACGGAGCTTTTTGCCTCTTTAACCATTTTAACCTTTATCGGAGCGATGGCATCCAGAACATTCAAAACACTCAAAGTCACAGAGTTCAACACATCATCAACATTAGAACATGAGGCAATTTCAAAATGTATCATTTCCATGAACAGTGCACCTGTGTTATCATTTATGTGTCTCCTTCGAACAACTGTAGGAGCAGCCGGTGGTTTGGGAATAACAGACGGTCAAAGAAGACACAGAAATGATCAGACAGAGCAACATCAACCACCTTGACATTTGAAATATTTACACCCTTTGTAATGAGCAGGTCCAGAGTGTGTCCTCTGTTGTGAGTGGGCTCACTGACATGCTGAGTCAGACCAAAAGTTTCAAGGACAACACTAAGCTCTAACGGTTGAGATCAGGATTAAAACAGAAGTAACAGGCACATAACAAACACATTACCAACAGAACTAAACAAAGACTAAACTAGTTCTAAGAAAATACTTAAAGCTGCACTGTGTAACTTTTCTGGTGATTGAAACTTTGCCTACTTTCCTTGAAGGAGTTATTATTGCTTTGTCTGGAATATTCCTCAGTATGGCATTAAATGTATCTGTTTTCATGGAGAAATACAGGAGACATCACCAGGCCAAGTCACCTGTAAGATCTATGGAGAGGTGACTCCGCCCACAGTACAGTTGCATGTTTTTCAGCAACAAAAACACCTGTAACTGAATAAATGAATACAGTACATACATCCTGAAAAGTCACATGGGACGTCTGTAAGGAATTATATAGTAGCTCTTTTCTACGGAAGCTGAGAGGGGTCACAACAAACGCAAACGCTGCAACAAATACAAATACGACAACACAACAAAAAGCCACAACAAACCAAAAAAAAACACAACGGAAATGACCGCGGGACTCTATTTTAATGCAAACGCCGCAACAAATACAAACGCTGCAACACAAACGCAAATGCCGCAACACATTAAAAAGCCACAACAGAAGTGACCACGGGACTCTATTTTCCGACGGACCGATCAAGCGGCAAGTGAAGAAGAAGAACTACAACGTGAAACGAATAATGACAAAACAATAAATTACTTTTACTTACGTTTCCAACTTCTCTGTTCCTTTACTTTTCACGTTGTAGTTCTTCTTCTTCACTTGCCACTTGATCAGTCCGTCAGAAAATAGAGTCCCGCGGTCACTTCTGTTGTGGCTTTTTATTGTGTTGTGGCTTTTTAATGTGTTGCAGCATTTGCATTTGTGTTGCGGTGTTTGCATTAAAATATAGTCCCCGCGGTCATTTCCGTTATGGCTTTTTTTGGTGTGTTGCGTTTTTTTTGGTTTGTTGTGGCTTTTTGTTGTGTTGTCGCATTTATATTTGTTGCAGCGTTTGCGTTTGTTGTGACCCCTCTCGGTTTCCGTACTTTTCAAATTAAATACATGGAATTTAAAAGTGTTAAATTTTTGCCAGAAACGTCCATAATTAACAATAAGTTTCTCAACCCAAATTTATGTTTGATTTCTTGTGTTAGAAAATCAGATACTTACTTTGTCAGCGTCGTCTCCAGATATTTTCACTCTGTCACCTGTTGGACCAGTTCCACCTGGAGTCATGTGACCTCAGGTATGTGGGCAGGTCTAAAGTAAATCTGCAGAATACACATGAACATACAGAAATGTGTCCTGTTTAGAAGATTATGGCCTGCAGATAATGAAAACCCAAAATTCAGTGTCTTAGAAATTTGAATATTACAATATTATTATATTATATATTATGAGATCAATAGCAAAAAAAATATGTATGTTCATGTCTAGGCACTCAGTACTTGGGCCTCTTTTAGCATGAATTACTGCATCATTGCCTCGTGACATGGAGATGTCCCTGTGGCACTGCTCAGGTGGAGTGGAAGTCCATGTTGCTTTGATAGTGATCTTCAGGTCATCTGCATGGTTGGCTCTGGTGTCTCTCATCTTCCTCTTGATAATATCCCAGAGATTCTCCAGCCTCAGTCCACGCCTTATGAAGCTCCCTCAAACTGTTGAATGGATTTTGCTTGACAATCCTCTCAAGATCGTCCCTTTGGCTGATGCACCTCTTCCTACCACTTTTCCTTTGACTCAAGTGTCTCTGAATATACTTGGATACAACACTCCAACCAGCTTCTTCAGCAATGACCTTTTGTGGTCTTCTCTTTGTGGAGGGTCAGTGAGTGTCTTCTGGACATTTGTCCATCAGCAGCCTTCCCCATGATTGTGTCACCCACTGACCCAGACTGAGAGACCAGTTAAAGGGTCAGGAAACCAGTGCAGGTGTTTTGAACTGATTATCTGATTAGGGCTTGACTCCAAGACTTTACAATATTGAACTTCATTTCACAATATTTTAATTTTCTGAGACACTGAACTTTGGGTTATTAATGTCTGTAAGTCTTAAAACATCAAAATATCAAAAACATCAAAAAATAAAGGCTTGAAAGCTTCACTCTGTTACAAGTCTATATAATACAGGTTTGACTTTCTGAAATGAGTGACAAAAATATTGAACTCTTTCATAATATTCTGTTTATATGAGATGGACTAGTGTGTTTAAAATGTTCTGCTTCCTCAATAGTGTGTGTTAGGATTAGACCATGATGGGACTAAAATAGTACATAACCTGCTCTTAACCAAAACCAACCACATTTAAAAAAGGTCTACACCAGCCCCAATAGTGGGACAACTACTTGTACTTTTAATTGAGCACATGTTTTTTGCCATTTAACTGTATTTATACTTGAGTACAAAAACTTTTTCCACCACTGTTGGTGTAGATCAAGACCAGATCAGGTCAAAACCAGGATTAAACGGATCAAAACATCTAAACCAGGAATAAATTAGTTCTAAGGAAATACTTGACCTGGTCTAAACACGTCAACACCAGGCTCCAATCGCAAGACAAAAGTTTGACTAAACTCGATCTAAGACAAAACTAAACTAATCTCCTCAGTGTTGAGCCAAGGAAAGAGTAAATCTAAACCCGTGTTTCATTATTTTCTATGTTTATAATAAGAAATACTCACTGCGTCACCGTCGTCTCAAACAGGTCTCAAAAACTCAAATACTTTGACTTTGGACTTTAGACTTTATGACTTTATTGTCTCCAAGGATCAGTGGTGGAAAGAGAACAGGGAAAAAATGAACTTGTGTAGAGGTACATGGTTATAAATGTACACAACTGTAAGTAATGCTCCAGATGTGTAATGAGTAAAAGTACACAGTACACATGAGACATACTACTCACAGTATATTTACTTTTTACATGACTCTAGCATTTAGATGAGTCTTATTTATAAAACTTTATTTATTAAATCCTTTAAATCGCTGTCTTCATGTTCTCTGAGCTCTTTCTAATCAGAGCTGGTGATGTTTTGTGTGTTTTAAGTGATACATCCGTGGAACTTCCTTGTGCTGCTGCGGTTTGAAATGTTGAAAGTACAAAGAGTTTTTCTCAAGTTCAAGTACGTGGTCAAAAGTTTACTCAGAAAAGCACAGTTACCCCCCAAAACTATAAATCTATATACTCACACAGTATCCTGAGTATTTGTAATTAGCCTGGTTATTTTTTCCTGCCAACAGCACATTTTTTTCCATAAACACAGCACTCTTCTGACAAATACACAAACAGTTAAACAGTAGATACATTACATTATTTTGATCTGTTATGAAGTTATAAATAAGACTGATCTAAAATGCTGCTAGAATTGTATATAAAAGTAATTATACTCTATAATTATACACTATCTGTACTTGTTTTTTAACCATGTAACTCTATTTTTATCCAAGTACATTTTGTCAAGACTCTTTCCATCACCGATCGTTTGATATTAAAGTCTGGAGTCTAAAGTGAAAGTGTTTGCAGGTTTGGTGAGTCGTGTGAGTGTTTGTGACGGTGACTTCTCTGGCCTCTCTGTGGTGCAGTGACACTGAGCTCCAGCAGAGGGCGCCACACTGAGGGCGTCTGAATGGAGGCGGCACAAAGACAAACGGTACAAGAGTGAAGTATTTTTTTATTTTTTATTTTTATGTATTTTGGTTTGTTTTTTTATTATTATTATTATTATTATTTATTATATATTTTTCTTTTGTGTGTGAAATTAATTTGGAGCTTATTTAGACTCCTCAGGTAAAAATTATCAGTGATGAAAAACAGATAGAAATAATATACATAATCCAATATCTAATTATAATTTAAACCTAAAAAACACTGAATTTCATGAATTGATTAAAGATTATTGTCCTAAATGTATTCTTATTCAGCTCTAGACCATTATTCCTCTATATGAAGCATATTACTTGAGTTTTTTTGCAAACACTGTAATTTGAACTAGTTTATTGTCTAAATAGTTTTTCAGTTTTCAGATTGTTGTGAAAAGCAGAAGTCCAGTTCGGGAGCAGAAATGGAAAGAGGTTTGCTGTTGCTGCTGGTGACGCCCTCGGAGCTGCTCGTGTCATGTCACGTGCCCTGGTCACACCACAGATAGGCTCATATTGGTTCTGTCGTTTGTGCTTCGACTCTGCACACCTGACTGGGCGACAGGAGGAGGACAGGAGGAGAGGCACTTCACTGAAAAGATTTTCAAGAAGTTTACTCCACACTGTCCCTCTGACCTTTCTCAGACCTTCCCTCCCTTCCTGAGATAAAACCAGAAAAGAAAAGCAAGACTGAGACAGCGTGGAGGCTTCCAATCAATTTGGTCGGTTTGATTTCTAAGCATTTTTTTTTTTTTTTTTAAAGAACATTGGGGATGTTACGTGCACGTCTTGGGTCTAGATTAAATGCGGAAAGACGGGCTGACATTTTTCTCTTCAAAAGTTGGCGCTAGTGAACACTGTGAGCTTCTACTGTTGATGACTCCTGTAAAGGTGTTTAATCCGGGTTGAGATGATCTCTCCATCTCTTTTTTATTTGTCTATAAACAGGCCATGACAAGTCAAATATGTGAAAAACCTGGGACCCCAACTGCAAATTATAATTGATGTTTTTGTAAGAATTCAAGTGAGAAAGAAGGTCAAAAGTAGTTCTCCAGAATTATGAAGAAAGTATAATGCATCATTTGTTTTGTTAATGTCATTTATATATATTTTTATGATGTTCCTTCGCATCCTTCATCCATTGTAAGTTCATGGTCACACACAATTCAGACAACACCTTTCATTCAATGTTGTCCTATAAAAGTGTTCACTCCATCTTTTTTCAAATATGATGTATTTTTAGCGTATTTTTTGAAAACGTCTGATTTTAAAACGTAGCTTGAACCTGTTTCTTTTTCCCCTCTTCCGCTGAATGTAAACACAAAAATACTATCTTGCTCAGAAAATGTATAGATAATGCATATTTTGACCCTTTAAAAGCCTCCTATCTGCAGGAGAACATCTTAAAACAGAAACCTGCAAATCCCTAGAAATCCCTTCAAACACCAGATGGTAAAGTGACGTATTCACCTTCAACTAAAGCACAGGTGTCAAACATACGGCCCGGGGTCCAGATGCGGCCCTCCAAGACCTTTAATCTGGCCCCCATCTGATTTTCTACTAAAATGTTTTAATGATATTTTCTATTAAAATATTGTTAATTTTCTGTGGTGTTTATCACAGCAGCGTCTCCAGTGTCTCTGTACGTGGCCCCTCCCACCAGAGCAGCACAAATGAAGACTTGTCTCTTTCCAAACGCTCTTAAAGGACGATCGTTTTGACTGTTGACCGTGACACCCTCATCAGAAAAATGTCCAACATGAGAAAAGTGGAGCCGAGTGCCGGATTTTACAAGAAAAATTGACTCATTCCTATTTGCAAACAAGTTCATGTTAAAACATTGTGTTGAAATTGTATTTTTCTTAAAGTTTCAGGTTGTTCATAATCTTATAATATTTTGTAAAAGAAAGAGTTCATCAATTAAAAAAGATTTCTGTAATAGATTTGTGTTTCTCTGCACAAATATTTAAACTTATTGTTATTTTTGGGGTTTATATGACATGAGTTTTCTGATCCGGACACTTTCGGATTAAAGTAGGTTGGATACGGCCCCCGGACCAAAATGAGTTTGACACCCCTGAACTAAAGCGTACAACATTTAATTACAGTAGATTTTAGTTACGTTCATTCTGTAGTTCCAATTACCATATGAATTGTGAGATTTTGACTAGTATGAACGTTAAATTATTGCATAGTTTTGTAAATGTGACGTATTCAGAGCCTGACTTGGTTTTACGTCATATCAGCGCGTTTGAGAAAGCATTTTTTTTTAGGAATAGCCAGTGTTGGGAAGGTGACTTTAAAACGTATTCCCCTACAGATTACAGATTAAATACACCAAAATGTAGTTTGTAACATAATCCATTAAATTACTTCATTCTGTCATTTTCAATTTATTTAAAAATAAAGAACTGAGACTCAAAAGTGAAATCAAATTAAATTTATCTGAAATTTCAATAAATCACAAATCTGGTCACAGTAATCAAAAAGGACACCTGGTTTACGGGCTGAAAAAAAAAAAAAAAATAATAAAAAAAGCAATGTATTTTGTAATGGGGATTTGTGTTTGTTCTGTGTTGAATATTGTGAATCTGGAGATCTGGT